TCTTGCTATGTTGCCCATAGGGCTTAGATTGCCTAGGGGCTCAGATAATTTTCTTGCCTCAACCTCTAGAATACTGGGAGTATAGGCATGTACCACTTTGTTTGGGATGTGAGTAGTCCTATTTTAATCCAGTGATTTTAATTTTGTTTATTTTTGGTTTTTTCCAGATAGCATCTTGCTATGTAATTCATACTGGCCTTGAAACTCACTGTGTAGCACAGGGTGGCCTAGAATTCATGGCAGTCTTTTTGTCTCAGTCTCCAAGTGCTGGGGTTACAGTGTGCCACTACGCCTGGCTTATCCAGTAATTTTAAACTTTAAAGACTTACTCCTTTTTAGGTTTTGGAAGCAGCACAACTTAGCAAGCAGCAAGCCTAAGTTTAGGATTTTCCTTGGGTACTTTTTTTCTTGACCTATTTTTCAAAATTCACCTAATGTTTATACAGTTTATGATTTATGTGGTGATTGACTCAGTGTAGAGTAGGAAATGGGACAGTTTTAGATAAGAGTTAAGAGGTGATAGTAACATGCTGTTTTCTGTCATATAATCTGGAGTAGTTCTTAATTTCACTGGGCCTAAATTGTTTTTTCCCTATTATGTGAAGATGCTAATAGACTGAGTTAATAATCTAAACAAGTTAAATATTACTGGTGAGAGTTGTTGATACTGTTTAGAAGAAGATGATGAGGAGCTGGGGAAGTGGCTCAGTAGAATAAGCACTCCCTGGCAAGTGCGAGGGCCCGAGTTCAATCCCTGGTTCTGCCAAAAAAAAAAAGAAGAAGAAGAAGAAGATGATGATGATATAAATGAGAAGTTGGAGTAAATTGGATGTGTTGGAGCTCACCTGTAATGCTCACCAACACATGGGAGGCAGAGGCAGGAGAACTGCTACCACTTTGAGACCAGCTGGTGCTACATAATGAGTTGAAAGGTAGCCTGGACCACATAATAGAAGACTATCTCCAAAGAAAGAAAAAAAGACAAGGAAGAATGGGCTAACCTTTATAAGCCACATTGAATAATCAGCTATATTTGATGTGCCTTCCTTTTATATTTGTAATAATTAAAAACTGGAAACGCTATGGTTGATTTTCCTCTACTTTCCCTTGTAGCTATGGGAGAAATATTTGAAGAGTAAATATTTAAGAATTAAGATACAAGATGGGTGTGGTAGTGCACACTTGTAATCCCAGCACTCAGGAGGCTGAGCAGGAGGATTGTTTTGAGTTCGAGACCAGCCTGGGCTGCAAAGTGAGTTGAAGGCCAGCTTGAACTGCATAGCGAGACTCTGTCCCAAAAAGGCAAAAAAAAAAAAAAAGAATTATGATGTAAAGGCATTTTATGTTTTTAATAGACAAAATGATTATAAATCCTAAATTTAAGATACATTGTTGGGAATGATAATTTCTTTGAAGAGTATGGAAACACTCCTTGATTCAGAGAGAGCCTTGTATTTTTTGTGTTTCTTCTGATTCCTTTTTGACATTATCAAAATGGAGGTAAATTTTAAAAGTTTCTTAATGGTTCATTTTCTTTTATGGTAGTTTCCTAACCCAGTTAACTTTCAGTTACTATAATTTTTCCACTGAAGCATAGAAAGGAGTTGAAGTTGGAGAGAGAGTTGATGATAGTGAGGGTTTGTGTTTGTTTGCAGTGCTGTTACTCTAATGCAAAGCCTTGTCATGGTGAGGTTGTGCTGCACCACTCAGGTGTCACTGATGCTACAGGTACCACTGTACATCACCAGCCCTGAATTTATGAAAAGTTAGTGATTGATAAAAAGTGGTTCTTGGGGACTGGGGGTGCTGGCACACATCTGTAATCCCAGCACATGGGGGCCTGAGGCAGGAGGATCACTGCAAGTTTGAGGCCAGCCTGAGCTACATAGTGAGACCCTGTCTCAAAAAAAAGTGATTATTGTACTTAGTCACTTATTGTACTGTTGGGGAAAACCAAGTGTATGATTTCCTGATTTCACTTGTTTGAATCCTCTTTCTGTAAAATGGTTGCTTTGAAAAAGAATCCTAGATGCTTAAATCTAATCTGTCTTTTGCTTTGGTTCTGGCAAAAAAGTAACCAGTGTACTTAAATAGTAGCTTTTCTTCTTTTTCTTTTCTTAATAATTATCTGTGCTTTTTGTTTTTTGGAACCTGGAGTCTTGAATAGTTCTGTTTAAGCTTTTATGACAGAACTGGTTTTTTTTGTGGGCGGGACCAGTTATTGAACTCAGGACCTTGCACTTGCCAGGCAGGTGTTTATACCACTGAGCGATCTCCCTGGACCTGAGAACTGTTTTTCCTTTCAGGGAACCCTCATATTGACTGGTCTAAAAATGCTGCATCATTTATACACCAGGGAGCCCCTGTTTCTTGGTACACATAATGAGTACAAAATCAGCAGTTTAGGCCAGAAGTTTAGCATCTTAGATCATGAGAATTTTCTGTGGGAAGTGCCTTTGAAATTCTTGCTGGGTCATGGAGGGTTCCTATTTATAATTACCTCTGGGGTTTTGTTTTTTTTTTTGATCTTTCTTGAGACAGGATCTTGCTAAGTTGTTTAGTTGGGCCTTGAACTCACTTTGTATCCCAGGCTGGTCTCTGAACTCAAAACGATCCTCCTGCCTCAGCCTCCCAAGTGCTGGGTTTACAGGTGTGCGCCACCACACCCAGCTATCATTGCCTTTTATATACACATGGAGTTTATTATTCTGTGGTCTTTGTGATAAAAGGGAAACTCTGGAGGGTAAATAGAGATTCTGTTCTAGAATATATTATAAGCAGGTAATTTAATTCAGAAATTCTTTTTCAGTTGCCCATCGGACGTCAGTGTGTAAATCATTACCGACGCCTACGGCGCCATTGTGTCTTTTCACATGAGGAGCTCATTTTCAAGATGGCAGCAGACCCAGAGTGCTTGGATGTGGGGCTGGCCGCTATGGTCTGCAAAGAATTGACTCTCATGACTGAAGAAGAAACACGACTGAGGGAGTCTGTTGTACAAATGGTGAGTTTGCTCAGCAAATTTCTTTTGTTTATACAGCATGTGAGATACAGAAAAAAGTGAGCCTTTAGAGGAACTCCATTTTTTTTTTTTTAAACCTTTGATCATTTTAGGAGGTGAACATGAAAATCAGTAACTTCAGGTAGGTTTTACATTTTTTAATTGGTAATTTTGGTTTCTTCAGATTGAAAAGTTTTAGGAAACTTGATATCATCTGTAGATTTTTAAAAGTAGAATCCTATCAGATTGAATTTCTTTTTTTTTTTCCCAGAACCAGGGACTGAACTCAGGTCCTTGGGCTTGCCAGGCAAGTGCTTATTCAACTGAGCTATCTCCACAGCCCCTTTTTTAATATTTTTTTTTGGGGGGGGGCAGAACTGGGGATTGAACTCAGGCCCTTGCACTTGCCAGGCAAGCGCTTATTCTACTGAGCTATCTCCCTGGCCCCTATCAGGCTGAATTTCTTAAGTATGTATTTGTTTTCCTAAATCCTCTATGTAAGTTTTATTTCCCTGAGGAAATTCAAATCCTTTTGTCCTTGAGGTTTATATTGAATAAAAATTAATGTTTCTGGTGCTTGTTGCCTCTATCAGGTTCAGTGAGTCTATTTTTACCCTTTTTGAGTAATTTGACATATGAAGAAGACCGAATATAACTAATGACTAGGATTTTGAATGTCTAAGTACATTAAACATTTACCACACTGAAATGGGAAACTTGAGAAAATTTGTGTTTCAGCCTCATCTTGGGCTGTTCTCCCATGTCATCTCTGTATAGCTATCCTCCCTGGGATGGTACCACATGCCCTTTTTTTTTCTTTCTTTTTTTTGTTTTTTTTGAGTTGTGCTCTGGTGTTTTCAAAGCTGGTCTTAAATTCCTGTTGTCAAGAAATCCTGCCTTCCCCTCCTGAGTAGCTGGAACTACAGGTGTGAACCACCACGTCCTGCTGTCTGACTTCTTTCACTCAGCTTAATTTCTTTTTTTTTTTTTTTTTAATTTTATTTATTTATGTGTGTGTGTGTGTGTGGCCAGCTCAGCCCACCAGGGGGCGGGCTGGCTGGCATGTGGTGCTGGGGGATTGAACCGCGGTCCCTGTGCTTTGCTAAGCTTGTTGTAAGTAGTTGCTTTAGACCACTGAGCCATCTCACCAGCCCTTAATTTCTTTAAGATATGTCCATATTGTTTTGTGTATCATTCTACATTTCTACCAGTAGTGTACAGGAGGTCTAATTGCCCTTTCTCCTCACTGACACTTGGTGTGGTCACTAATTTTGACTTTATGTACTCTAATAGATTTGTAGTGTTTTGGTCTTAATTTGCATTTCCCTAATAACTGCTGATGTTGAACATGTTCTAATGTACTTGTTCGCTATCTGAGCCTTTGGGAAGTTCCTTCAAATCTTTTGCTGAATATTAAAAACTTATGTTGTTTTCTTATTGATTTTTCAGAGTTTTTTATATATTCTAGATACAAATTGTTTATCAAATAGAAGATCTGAAAGTATTTTTTCCTAGTCTGGTTGTCTTTTCCTTTTCTTAACAGTGAAACTTTTGAAAAATAGACATTCTTACTTTTTTATGACGTTCATCTTAGAGTTTTTTTCTGGGTTGTGCTTTTGGTTGTATCTGAACTTTGCCAAAAACCATTTTACAGTTTTCTCCTATGTTTTTAGTTTTATCTTTCATATTTAGGTATTGACTGATTTCAAGTTAATTTTTATATATGGAGGTACTTATTCAATTATATATATATCACTAATAATTACTAGTTTGCTTAAAGATACTAGTTAGAAGTCTCCTATTTTAGGAGAATATGTGTTTAATAGCCAACAGTTGGTAGGTTGTAAAGATGTCTTACGTTTGACATATCCTAAAAGAATGTTAATACAAGCTTGTTTTCCCCTGACTAAAATTATAGTTCTCTTGAAAATAACATTTTCAGGCTGCGAATACAGCTCAGTGGCATAGTGCCTGCCTGGCAAGTGCAAGACCTTGAGTTTGACTCCTGGTATAAAAAAAGAAAGAAAGAAGGACAAATAGATAGACAGACAGACAGAAAAATAAGCAAGCAGGCAAGAAAAACATTTTTAGCAGGAAAATGTATATAGTCACAAGATTGAGGATTTTGTATTTGTGTATATTTTTAAGTAAGTTCAATAAATTATTGAGTGTAATTGGTGAGGTGTACATGTTAAGTTGTAAGGGTCTTAACAGAAAAGGTAAATTTAGGCTAAGGAAAGGCTAAGGAAAAACATCACATTGATACAGTGACTTGGATCTGGGGATAAAACTGGTTTACGACTCTTTTTATAGGCACAAATAAGGAGAAAACCTATTAACCAAAATATAAAGCTCTACTATGCCAGAAATGTTGCTAGAAAGCTGATTATTTTTTAGGAATTTAAGTTAGTTCAGAAATAAGTTTTGTAAATGGTCTAATTTCCTTTTTCTACTCATTTGAATTATCTCAAAACAAAAAAAGTGGAATTTTGAAGAATGTATTTTACTTTTTAGAGATACTTGGATATAAATAGCTTGATATTAGTCCCATTTCAGAAATATTCCTTTTTTATACTTGTGTTTTTAAAATTCTATTTTGAGTATGTATTTATTTTAAATAGGATTTCTTTCTCATTTGAATTTATTTTGAATTTTGAAATTTATATTTTTGGGGTTCTGTTTTTAATTTTTTATTTATTGTTGTATTATGTAATAATAATGCTGATCCTGGAAAATTTGTACCTGTAAATGATGTCTTATTCTTTTCCCCCACCACTGCCCTCCCCTTTAGTCCCTTGTCCCCTCTTTATTTATAAATTTTTTGTTTTTTGTGGAACCGGGGATTAAACTTAAGCCCTTGCACTTGCCAGGCAAGTGCTCATTCTACTGAGCCATCTCCCTGGCCCCTATTTATAAAAGTTTTGTTTCTACTTTTTCCTTCTGTTTTTCAGTTTTCCTTATCCCTTCTTTCCCTTTCAGCTCTCCCCTCCCTTGTTCTCCTTCTCATTTGAGCATTTTCTTCCCACTTCCCAGCATCTGTTGTACTTTTTGGTCCTTAGGAAATTTAAATATGTTAGTAGAGACTGATGGAGTAAGTTTTTTGATATATTTTCTTATTTCAGGTTCAATCTTAATGGGGGCTTTTTTTTTCTTTCTTTGTTTTTGAGACTGGGTTTTGCTGTAGCCCAGGCTGGTTTTGAATTCATAATTCCCTAGCCTTAGCCTCAAAAATTCTGGAATCACAGGCCTGTGTTACCACACGCAGCTATTAGGACAGGATTGTTAATTTTTGTGATAATTTGAATATATATCCTATTTTCTTGTCCTCCACCTTGTTTTTATGATCCTCTGACAACATTTCACTAAAGGTCCTTTCTCTTTCCTCTGCCTTTGTTCTAGATACTTACTCTGCCATGGGGCTTGCTTTTCCTATTTTGAGAAAAGTTGTCATTTTTCTCTTTTCTTAAAAAACTTCTTCATTAATTTTTTAAAAGTTGTTTTCTTTTGGATTATGCTCTTATTTTCTTTCTTTTTTTGTGCTCACATTTTCTGTTCATCCTTTCATTACTGCTGTTTTTGTTCCCATCATACTTTTGAAACCCTCCAGTTTCGTCACACCCTCACTGTGCTTTTAATTCTTCACTTTCAGTGCTCCCTCTTGGTACCTTAAAAACACAGGAAGTATTGTCGCTGAATGCGGCAGTGTGTTCAGTCACTTGTTTGTAAACTTTCCCCATGCTTATTGTACAGATTTTTGTCATATGTGTTGTGCCATGTGAAAATAACATTCCATCTCCTCTTCATCCTTCTACAAGTTCTTTTTCGAATTTCTCACCTGAATTGTTTTGAATGGCCTTTTAATTTGTACCTGTGGTTGTTTTCTTCTCTCCCCTCTCTCCTGATAATTTATGATTTTCCATAGCATAGTCTCAGAGATGAATAGAATGTTTAGAATGTATTGCCGGAAAAGAATTGTTCTGTGGTTAGAAAATAGGGGGAAATAGCAGATTAGGAAAAGATAAATAGGGTTCTTCATTGTGTAATTTCTCTGACCCCTTAAAATATGCTACTGTTCATTGTTAATATCAAACACTAGAGAGAACTAATCTGTAAACCTTTCCAAACTAGAAATGTATTTTTCTTTCTTTGTTTTTTTTGCGGAACTGGGGATTGAACTCAGGCCCTTGTGCTTGCCAGGCAAGCGCTTATTCTACTGAGCCTTCTCCTGGGCCCTAGAAGTTTATTTTTCAAAGTATTGTAGGATAGTGGACCCTGGAATGAGAACACTTTACAAAATGGTATAGAATTTTTTGAAGCACGCAGAATTCTGTTAGTTGCCTCATCAGTGTCCTGTATTTTCCAGCTTTTCTGCTTGGGACACTTTTGCATAAAAAATACTTTTTAAAGAAAATAGTAAGTGCTAATAAGAGAAAATGTAGAGTATAGCTAGCAAATGTTTAGATTAAGTTGATAAAAAAGAAAAAGCATGAAAAATGAATTGGAATGTGTCTCTTAGTGAACAAATGATCAGGCCTCCACTTTATTGAAGTGAAGAAAAGTTTGTTTTTATTAGAAAAATTTGGTTTATGATTTTCTTGCTGAAATAAATAAAAACTGCAAAGGGAACTTTTGTATAGTCAATGAAAGTCTTTTTTAAGAGCAGCAAAATTTATTGGAGAAAAGGAATAGGAAATAGGAGTAGGGGAGTGGGGAATAGGAATAGCTCCTGAGAGACAGGCAGGCTCCCGAAAGGGCTGTCTGAAAGTCGTACTCATCCTCATCCTTGTCCTTGTCCTTGTCCTCTTCTTTGGTGCAGGGAATGTAACTCGGGACCTTGCACTTTCCAGGCAGTGCTTATGCCACTGAGCTATATCCCTAGCCTGAAAGTCTTCTTAAAGTGTGTTTCATATATCCCTTCCTAAGTGGGTGCCTGAGTTGGATTAATTTTTTTTTATTGACATTTTGCCAAAGTATTTTTATTTCCATATTCAGTAACTTGGTTAGGTATACTTGTCTCTGCAGATGTTTGATGCATTACTAATTTATCTTGTTCAAGGATATATATATATATTCCGTAAGGACATAAATTTTTAATTTTTAAACAAGACTTTTATTTTATTGTTTTAAAGAAAAGGCAAAGGAAACCACATAAAACATGCAAACAGCTTTGTGAATTCTGTGGTAATCCTTAGATGCCAAAGTATAGGCTTGCCCATTTTTAAAGATTTAGTCATGATTATTTTCAGAAAGTTTTTTTCATGTCATGCCATCATGGCTTTCACATTTACACCCTAAAGGGGGCTGGGGAGATGGCTCAGTAGGATAAGTGCTTGACTGGCAAACACAAGGATCTGAGTTCTATCTCCGGTTCTGAAAAATAAAAAAAATTAACATTTACACCCTAAAACCAGAGATATACCTTGGAAAAATGCAACTTAGGGTCTTAGAAGCTTTAGAGACAAGAAGGACTTGTAGAGACAAGAAGACTTGATCTGGTGGTGCAAATTGTGTTTCAGGGTGTCCTGATGTCTGAAGAAGAAGTGTTTGAACTTGTTCCTGACGACGAGCGACAGTGCTCAGCTTGCAGAACCACATGTTTCCTTTCTGCTCTCACGTGCTCCTGCAATCCTGAGCGGCTTGTGTGTCTCTACCATCCAGCTGACCTGTGCCCCTGCCCCATGCAAAAGAAGTGCCTGAGGTATCCTGGAAAGCTTCCATTGCCTTTTAAAAACATCTCATGCTAACGCTGTAGTTCCTCTCATTCCCTGTCCCTGAACTGGAACGGCTTTTCTATCTGCTTTCATGCTTAAGGACTAGTCCCCTAAAGTTGGCCCTTAGTGTAGTACCTGAAATTAATGTTTTTATCAGTTGATTCCAGATGTCGTTTTGTCTATCGCTGAATTAAAACTTTGGGCTTCTTTGGTATTTTCTTAATGTAAACCCAAGATCCTACTCCCTTAGCATTGTATTGTTCTTAAACTGACTGTACTTAAAACTCAGATTTTCAAGTTGTTGCTGGAATTTGAAGTTTTTTATTTTTGTGTTTTTTTGTAGATATCGCTACCCATTAGAAGACCTCCCTTCTCTTCTTTATGGTGTAAAAGTCAGGGCACAGTCCTATGACACTTGGGTCAGTCGTGTTACAGAAGCATTATCTGCTAACTTCAACCACAAGAAAGGTTAAGTTTCCTCTTTTGTATGCATATACTGACATTATTGTTACTTTAAAATTCTAGTTGGGCATAGCAATTCATGCCTATAATTTTAGCTACTTGGGAGGCTCAGGCAGGACGATTGCAAGTGTAGGGCAGCCTGTGAAATTTAGCTTGAAAGACCCCTCCCTCCCAGGTAGCTCCGGGTCGGGGCAACTGCCTAACATGCATGCTCGCCTGGGTTCGTTCTCCTATACTGTCAGAAAAAGCCTTATCTTATGTTTTGTTTTCCTCTATTAAGAAATAATCTTAGGTCCCATTAGATTTGTGACTAAGGGGTTGTGTGTCAGTGACTTTTCTTGTCACTGAGACACAGTACCTTACACCCACACTCTAAGGGGGAAAGTTTGTGGAGATTTCAGTGCATAGTCAGCTGGTTCCACAGCAGGGTGGCATGGAAGAGGAGGCATGGCAGTTAGGAACCAGAGCGAGAACCAGGGAGGAGAGAGAAAGTTAGGCCTTTCCCAGCCATGCCCCCAGTGGCCTGACTAGGCTTCACCTCCCAACATCACATTGAACTATAAATGCATCATTATCATGGCCCCATAATCCAGTCACCCTCTAAAAGGCTTACGAGTGTGTGAGGCCTTAGGGGTACATCTGGATGTAAACTATAATAGATTGATAAAACATAGGTTTAATTTTCTCTTTGAGAATATTTTACATGAACAATCCGACATAAAATGGGACAAACTTGCAGGAGATGTATATTTTAGGGAACCGTTGCTGCCTGTGGACTAGAGCTGAAGGTTTTTTTCCAGGGGAGTACCAGGAATTGAACTCAGGACTTCACACTTGCCAGGCAGGTGCTGTGTACTGAACCAAATCCTCAGCCTGCAACTGTTTTTAAAAGAGAAATGGCCACATCTGAGAGAAGTCAAGTATTGGTGTTGGGAATGGGCAGCTGGTCAGAAACTGTTTGCCTTTGCATTGAGATTTTATAGCCACAGTATGTTTGTACGAGTAGGTTGGTGAGATTGGTGGCGATTTTAGAATGGCTTTTTGTTCAGATGGTCATAGTCATAGTACGTAGCTTTTTGTTTATTTTTACAGATTTGATTGAATTGCGAGTAATGCTAGAAGATGCTGAGGATAGGAAATATCCAGAAAATGATCTCTTTCGAAAGCTCAAGGATGCCGTAAAAGAAGCCGAGACTTGTGCTTCCGTGGCCCAGCTGCTTCTGAGCAAAAAGCAGAAACATAGGTAACTGGAGGAAGGGTGTTATTCTTCTCTCACTCATTCCCTTTTTCAGAATAAGAGGCAGAGTTTGAAGTAGCCAGTGAAACTGTACATTACCTTTGATTTCTTTGTCCATGTTTCTCCTTTTCCTGTCATACTCCTGTCTTACCTCCTCCTACTATCAGTCTTCTTTCCTCCCTGGTATGGTGGTTCAGGAATTAGGAGAAGTTCTTCAAATTGAAATAGTTCTGTTAGCTCCAAATAGCTGCATCAGGAATACAGCTCCCAGGCACAGCGCCGCCTGGCAAGTACAAGACTCTGAGTTTAATTCCTGGTGCAAAAAGGAAAATATAGATGAATAGCTGCATCAGGAAGGTAGTAAACATCTGCTGTGGCCAATGCTAGAAACCACAGCAAAGTTTGTGTGGTATTTATGGGACAAACTTAGCTCTAAGCAGGAAAATACTTTTTATTGTTTAATTAAAATTTACTAGTACATGTTTATAATATACAATGATTACATGCGGTATAGGTTGGTACATGCAGACACACATCTTAATGCTTTTTACTTTCCTCTCTTCACCCCTTCTTCCTCCTTCCCTCCACCTCTTGCAAAAGAGCTTTCTCCCTGTTTCCAATTGCCCTTTTTTCTTTTTTTGAGACAGGGTCTCCCTGTATAGTTCATGTTGGCCCTGGACTCACTGTGTGTCCCAGGCTGGCCTTGAACTCGCAGTGATTCTCGTCCCTCTGCCTCACCAGTGCTTGAAGTCTAGGCGTGCACCACCGTGCCTGGCTCTGGTTTCCTGTCTTTTCTTTGCTTTTTTAGTCTTTGCATTTCTTTTTTTTTTTTT